ACAGCAAGCTTTATTGTATTATGTTTCACTCAAATGCAATTTTATAATAATAGATTACACTGGTCTTTTACCTGATGTTATAATAGTAAGTAGTGCAACATCCTACTTTTTATTCTTTTGAAATAACATTCACAAATAAAGAATTAAAGTATAATCATCTTCAGAGACTAAAATGTATATATCTAGATGAAAAATCCACCAAAATTTGAGTTACTTAAGCTGTATCTGTACTCAGAAATAATCCAGGTCCATTCTCTGACCATTTGGCTGACTGACCTGCACAGAATTATTCCCTATGGATAGGGTGGCTGCAGCTAAACAGGCTAATCTCTGAAACACATCTGGCATTACCTAGCTAAGAGCCTGCTAGTCTAGGCTGACAGCAGCTCAGGGATCATGCTAGCTGGGCTAATGGTTTCACAGATGTGGAGATCAGATGTCAGCATTTGGGTCCATGCCCTCCTGCCACCATTTGCGAAAAATAGCAGCAGTCAGACCTGGTACTTCTTTTTTATTTCTACTTGCAGTAAAACATACTCCCTTCTAATAGTTACTTGAAAGAAATAATTATTTCAGGCGTTTAATGGTTCTGTTAAATCAGTTACATTTATCTATTTGTATGTTGTTAAATACAATTATTCATTCAAATATGAATATGCATGTTTATTATGAATTTTTAATGTTCAGTTTGCTGAAGAAGAATTTTTGAACAACACGAAACAAAAAATAGAAGCCATTTGCTTTTTTCAAAATAGGAACAGTTTAAATTGAAAAAAACAACTCTAAGCAAAGGTGGCTGAAAAATTCAGGGGAGAGGCATAGAACATATTAAAGGTTTGTTGAATGTTAAATGAAGCCTTTTTTAACTGTCATTCTATCGTATTCAAGATTGTGATAGAAAATTATGCTTATTCTCGTGAAACCCATGTACCCATGCGTTGCAGCCTATGCATCTTTTTATAACACTGAAAAAAATCAGTATTTGTATTATAGGTTTACTGATGCTCTTTCAGAACTCAGTTCTGAGCTGTACTGTCCATTCATGCAGAGGACTAAGGGAGTATAAGCACCATTTTATTTCTGTATATTAGCTCTCTCCATCCTGATAAACAAGCTAAAAAGCCAGCTAATGCAGCTGACATCTTGAATTATGTAATTTCTCATAATACATGCCAGAAATGCTATTCAGTGTTGCTGTACATGCAGGAATGCTGTTCAAAACCTTAGCTTCTGGCTCAGCAGCATGATCAGCAGTACAAAGGGTACTCAGCATGTAACGGGCATTACTGACCTTTGCGGGAGGAGGATGGAAAACTCCATAACTCTTTGCTGTATCCTTCATACAAATCTGCCAGACATAAAAGGCAACCACAGTGGCAGCGAAACAGAGAGGTACTGGGACGAGATGGCTTGTGGTGAAAGCTAGGTTTAGGACCAGCACTTTGAATTTTTTTGAAAGAAAAAATGTCTGTCTTCTGGCCCAAAGTGATACATAATGACAAGGGCTGTTGGAATTTGCAGATTTTTGTAGAAAAGACATATAAGAACCAGAATACTTGTAACACTTCTGTCTGAAGTTCACTGGAAATTATGTGTATGTCAGGCTGGCAGATTCAATGTACTATCCCTGAATTTAAAAGCAGAACCAGGATTTAAAAGCTACGTGTCAGCAGCAGTCTGGCTGCTCAATTATCTACGCAGTGTTTATGACAAATCCTCGACAGAGCCCTTAATAATATTCCACAATATTACAACAAACTTCCTTCTGTTCTGGCTGCAGTTAGTGGCAGCTATGCTGTTGAATCCTTCGGGACCATGAACATGCACAGCTGTCAACCCTACTATATTGTATCAGCGTTGCACTGGTGTTCTTGACAAATATACTTTGAACAGCACATTTGCAATACATGGAAAACTGGCAGAAGACATGTCATGTAATATTGACTTACTAACCTGCCTTCAGCATTTAACAGATCAGAATAACTTTCCATTTGGAATATATACTTCGTTTAAATATGTATGGCTCTAGATCCCAAGTAGATCTGTTCATAGTCTTGCGGGGGTCTAGGGTAGGTGTTGGGAGCTGTCACTCACACCAAATCACACTTACTAGAAAATCTGTACTGTTACCTACCTGAGCTTGGTGCAGGGCCCTACTGAGGCCTATGACAAAGAATAAAACAAAATACATTCTATTCGGTCCAAATACTTACACAGTTAAACTGTCTCCAAATAAACATTTTAGACTCTCTTACTACTGAAGAAGCTCATGGATTTGGTGATAACTCACACTGTTTTGGTTACTGGATGAACTGCCTTGTTAGACTGCTATACGATCTCCTGCTACGTCCATCCCTGACAGCCTATCTGTGTCTCCATTTTGTCTAGGGCTGGATTCCAGAATTCAGCTGCTGTCTGACAAACCATCTGCCCACCCTCAGATCTAGTAGATCCGTTGTCTTGTCACCTGTAAAAGGCATACCTTATATCTGTTGAAAGGGCAACCAATATCAATATGCAGTTTTACTGATACAGGAGTGCCAGCTTTAACACAAAGTAGAAATTATTTTGTCAACAGGCGCAAAGCGTGCAATAAGATTTAAAACTGCAGAGGTATGCTCAAATGGATGCTTGGCATTTCTCTTTAGTCGCTACTTAACGTTGCTGTCCCCTGATACTTTGAGATCTAACTGATGACGTGCTCGCTACTCTTCTTGGACTCAGCAGCTCCATCTATATAAATACATTAACCAGTGCCAGGGCCTGTTCTTATGGCTTTGAAGCCAACTAGCACTGCCTGGGCGTATCCATAATGTTAAACTCTTTACCCTCCAAAACAGGGAGGCTCCATCCAAACTGCCTTTTAAGGAATGATCCTTGGCCTATACCAACACCCAGAACATGCCCACGCACTCCTGGGACACCACTAGTTGACCTAGACAAACTTGCTGGGGACCATTCCAAAAGCTTGACCAGGTACATGGCCACATTTCAGTATTCAGGCCTGTGCTCTGGTAGTGTTGAATTTACCAACTGGTTGATATGTGAAAGCCTGAGAGAGCTGACTACTCCCCTTTTCTCATGCCCCTCAGATGGGCCACTCTTAACAAGCCACAGATTTTAGATTGCTCTCCCCTAGCATGCTTTATCCCACAAGGATAACTGCCATTTTGCAGGACCAGGCAGGACAATAGCAAAGGTGGCATTGACTCCTCAGCAAATACTTAGTGAGAGAGAGAAGCACTAAATCAGCTCAGACACAACAACTGAAGCATTGGTGAGAGAGAGAAGCACTAAATATCTTGTTGAGGTTCTGTTATAAAGCAATAGCCTTGTCCCTGATTTCTAGCTGCTTTCACAGTCAATTTGCAAGAAAATCCTGGACTGAAGAATTCACAAAACATACCTCCACCATCGCTGAGAAGTCACACATTCCTCATCCTGAAGGACCTTTATAGTTCCACAGACAAACACTTACGAGCTGAAAATTCAGCTCCTTCTCTGTTTCCTTAGTACTTTCACAAATTCATACTGAACCAGTTAATGTAGCCAGACATGCCTTAAACCAAAAAATCAGCTCAGACACAACAACTGAAGCTACTACAAATGTGAATGTTGCCTCCAACCACTGTCTTTATGAGCTGGTCTTTGCACTGGAAATTAGTTCTCTCACCAGCTATGGAGTTGACAACAATACTTATATTCTAGGCCATAGTTTTATCTTTTGAACTAATTTTATAGCAAATACTTTATATTCACATAGAACTCAATTCGGTTGCCTAAACATTCATTTTTGGCATCATCTGAGATGTTGCAAGGTGTCCTGTCTGGATTTTAGTTGCCAATAGAGAGGAGAGACCCATCAGCCTTGTTTCATGATGTCTTGAAATCAAGATTTCAGCATCTTCAGCATCTCATGGAACAGATGCCTATGAACATGCATGAACAATGTTCATGCATTGGAGTTCAGCCTACAGAGTTGCATGAGCAAGCTAGACAAAACAACATAGTTAACTGTTCTCTTCAGTAATAATGAAAATTTTCCTTCAAGTTTGTGAGCTAAATAATTCAATTTAATTAAGTCAAAGGGATTTTTATCTAAGGTTTCTGTTTTGCTTTGTTTTGTTCTATGAAAGGGTGAGTCACTATGGCACACTATGCATGGTATTACCCACAGAACAATAAGCAAACGCTGATCAAAAGTTTCACTCTTAATTTCTTCATTTTATGTATTTCTCCCAGGCAAAAAGATCAATTTTCTAAGCTGTGAGAAACATCCAGTCACATTAATAGAAGCTGAAGATTTGAAACCAGGCTACCACTTTGAAATTGTCTGAAGAAATATACTTACAGTTCTGTTATAAAGAGGTATATTCAAAGGATAAAAAGGAGGGGGAAATAAAGATCTATTGGAAAACATACATAACTATGCACTTTCCTATAATTTTAAAATGTGTTAGTTATTTAATAAATCATATTGTAGCTGTTATGAATACACAAAAATCAAATATAGCCCTCCACAATGTGTTTACATGAGTATGATATAGTATAGCTGGTACATAGGGAAAGTCTCATACTAACAAATACAGTATAAGATATCACATATATGATACAATTACATATTTACTATATTTAGTGTAAAAAAGTATATATTTTCTCTTTTAGAGAAAGGTATGAAATAACAAAGGATTACAATACCAAAAAATCCTTCTAGAGAAGTAATACTGTTAAAGTTTTGATGCAAAGATGGATATATTTCCTCTAGTAAACAAAACAAACTTTCTTAAGTAGCACGTTTGTTACAGGGACAGAAGATAGTAATTATTCATCCACTAATCAAGCTAATTTAAAATGAAATGATGAGACACCTAAGTTAACTTTTTAATTACAGTATCATATTTTCTTATGGGTACTGATCACTATCAAAAAGACACACAAAAAATTGGCATAAGTCATTGCAGCCTTCAGTAAGACATGCAATATGGTGTAGAGAAGCTTACTTTTGATGATCTCCCAGTGGTCTCTGTCCAATGGATTTTAATAATGACTCTGGTCGAACTGCTACTTTTGGTGATGTCTTGGGGCTAGTATCAGAATCTCCACTTTCTTCATCTCCCATGGCCTTAATATAGCTCCCACTTCTCATTCTTCTGCAGGGAATTTCTTCATCTTTTCCACCAGCAGGGTATCCTCCCCATTCATCCTGAGGCACCTAATGGAGAACATTAAGCACATACGGAAAATGTGTGTTACTCTTTTCAAATATTTAAATACTTCCTTCAGTTTTTTATTTTACAAGGACAAATTATGTGGGTTTTTTTTTGTATTTCAGAAACAAAGCACTTAGAAAAACATTTCTAAGGTCCCCAAATGATCTGGAAATCTTAATTGCAGTTTTAGGAGCAGATTATAAATGTTAGACCCTAAAGAACAATCAAGTCACTGCTTGTCAGCTGCACTGCAGTAACAATTTGTATACATGCTCTAAATTGCAGGAAATGGCTTGGCTTAACCTCTGTTAAAAGCTTGCACACAGATTTTAAGCTAATGAACAGTAAGTTGATCAGGTGTTTCAGCTGTGATTTTGGCATAAATGGATGGACTTCTGAGTTAGGGCAAACTTCTATGAAAAAAGGCAAATGTGGCAATTTGTCTTTGTTTCTTATTTAGAAACAGTAAAATAGTCCATAGATGCTGTAATGTATCAGGAATGTAGTCAGTTAATTATTAATACTGTATAGCTGAGGCTGTTTTCATACAGTTGAGGTGGTTTTTCAAATAGTAAGTCTAGTGGCCAGACAACCCATAGCTGGTGGATATCTGTCGGTACCACAAATTGGCAGAGAACTGAGTAGGAGTAAAATTTCCAATCCAGAGTAAAATCAGCCTTGTTTTAAGACTCCTGGGGAAACTCTCAGCAAGCCTGTGTCTGTCAATTTTGCAGATTCTTTGCTTTTTGTTTAATCTTCCAGGGTGCTAAAACCTCTGTTCCTAATCCAGAAATGCACTTAAGCCTTTTCTTAAAGTGTGTAGGCAGCTCACTGAAATCCATTATAATGACTCATGGTTAAAAAGAAGGATGTGATTAAATGCTTTGGTGGACCAGGGTTGATGCACTCGGCAGCATCAAGTTCTTTATCATTATGCTGATGCATAATGACTTAAAATATATTACACAGAACAATGACATTATTTACCAATATACTATAAATCAGGACTTCAAGTTAAGCATATATTAAGGAGTTTCTGCAAAGAAGCATGTTAAATCAAGACTTTAAGTCAAACATATTTGAGGCTTTCTACAAACAGAGTTCTGTGAGGAACTGAGGGAAATGCTCCCATTGATTTAATCAGGCTTGGAGGCTAGATTTAAATTACTCTCACTGTCACATTCTTCCTGTCTTCTCTACTGCCCTTACAAGATACATGAATTAGCCATGCCCCAGGTGAACAGACATGGTGCTTTGAGTTCCAAAAAGGGATCAAGGTGGAAATGAAATGTTAAAGAGGGGGAGGAGAGAAACAAGTAGAGAGAGAGATATTGAATTAAAGGAACAAACTCGGCAGAGAAAAAGAGACACTGAAGATGAAGTCAGATAAGAAGAGTTAAAGCAGTTTAGAAAAATGTTGGAAAGAAATATCTCAGAGAAAAAATTGTGAATTATATTATTATATAAAGTAATAGGACTGAGTATGAATCTAAATGACATATGGTTTAGATCATGCAAAGAAACAAACCTTTAACATTATTCTGCTTTGGATGGTGACTGGAAAGGGAACATGAAACATATTCCCAAACTTGAAGCCTCTAAATGTGATATATCATCCTCATTTCTTCCCAAAACCCACTATGTATGAAATTTACGTCGGAGGAAGGATTTCTGAGATTCTAGGAGAACTAAAAAATATCTATATGTAACAATAGTTGTAATAGCTAGACTCGTATAATATACAAAATATATTTTCTTAAGCTGTATTACTCACAGCTGGCAATACTGTTAACCGTGAAAATCTGAATTAGAGTGTTATATTAAGAAAAATTAATCAATACTATACAAACATGGTCTCACTTTTAAATCTTCTTTATTACTTGGATGTGAGCATAGCTAAAAACAAGAATCAAATGCTGAAAAAGCATTTATTAGTATATAGATGGGCTCACTGCAAGCTACATAGTTCAATTTTCTGTATTGAAAATGAATTATTACATTCATTCTGCATATTCTTTTTCAAAACCCTATAGCTTTTTCAAAGAAAGATGATTTTGGGCTTGAAATTTCTCTCTTTCATTTTAGCTCAAAGATAATTACATAGAGAATTTGAAAAGATATTGATCAATAACTTTTCATTTACTCAAATACAAAAAAACTTAGTTTCTTAACTTTCTTTTCTCTGAAATTCCATGTTCAAGTAGCTAAATAATGATTGGCTCTTAAGTAAGTAAACACGGGCTTATTTGTCACTTGAACTTGAAATATTATTTTTAAAGATAGGAATTACTGATTTTCATAATAAAGTATCTAAAACATAAAAGTTTTTTTTACTGTGATAAAGAGGTTCATGAGAACAAATTTTCCAGTTATATACATCACTGTTTTTATTAATTGAACTTATTTCAATTCATAAGTTACATGAATTCCCAAGAAAGCTAAAAAATAAATAAGCCCCACTCCACATAAATGCACCAAGAATCCTTTTATCTTTTTTCTAATCAGAGTAACTTGTTGACAGTCATAAAAGCCTTTATGATTGAAAAAAGGTATTTACAATAAAAATATGCATAACTTTGTTAACCTTGAGCTATTCAAAGGAGCAGAACACAATGAACACAGGAAAATGGTTCTGTAGCCTAGCACTGAAATTTCAGAATGTTTTCTCTCAGAAGGTTTTATGCAGGACCTAGGAAAACGCTCTAATGTCTTTCTACTGTCTTCAGAAGACCACTGTATTTTTTTTTTCCTCATGGATTAAGAATAACAGCAAAATTTGAGTTCCAGTTCAGTCAGCACTGGCTCATCATTTACTTTAGCTGATAGGTGAAATGCTTAGAAAAATCTTTTTTTTTCAAATTCAGACTATCTCAGATCCCAATATAGCCTTAAAGAAAAGCAAAAGGGTATAACAGTGCACAGATTTTTCTTTATTTGGAAATATTAACAAAAATATTTTACTGGAAGTGTGAGGGTCATTAAATGTATATATCTCAAAACATGAAAAGGGCTTTACAGATTGCAGAAATGCTTTCTTACAGTAGTTAGCAGTCTCTGAAATTCCCATCTGCAGGGTTTGCAGCTGCTAATTGGGACTAATTACCCTAATTACCTACTTGCGTATAGTGATGAGTGCTGATATTTATAATTTCTAAAAAAGCCTTCCTCCTGTTCTACATGTTAACATGAATCCTTGTATACGCAGTTTTTATCCACAGAGGAGTTAGACTGCATATTACCATATGAATCTGCTTTTGTAAGAACAACGAGCTGACAAGGTCTAGATCTTTTCATTTAATTTTATCATCAGCTGCTGATTTGGTATAACTACTACAGAAATGATGAATCTCTTCACAAATTTAATACATTATTGCTGTGAAAAGCATCAGCAGGTTCAGGAAATTTGGGATCTCTTAATTGTTCTGGTACTTTTAAAAATTGTCCTGGTACTCATTCACTTTGATATATTTGATTAGTTACTTAGTGGCAAATTTAATATATCACCTAGTACCTAAAAGGTAGCTTACTATATTTTATGCAGCTGATCCCTGGACTGAACTCCAGAGCCTTAGGTAGGCTTACCATAAAAGGCATTAAGGAGAGCTAGCTCCTTCAGCATATGATCCAAAAGGATCATAGGTTTCCTAGGAGCAGAGTCTCATGTATGTCTAACAGTGAATTTAATTACTTAAATGATAGTACAGCAAAGTAACAGCTTGAGCTGAGTGCTTCCGGGGAGGGACCCCAAATAAAGAAATTTTGGGGTAATTATACTCCTTACAGTCAAATTTCCCCACCTGCCCATTATAGTCTCTTCCTGTCTATTGAGTCGATGGTCTCTTTCCTTTTGATTAGTTTACGTCTACATCCTGGGACAGTTGCTATGTTCCAGCTTCATAGTGCCTTATCTTATCCGAAGGTTAACCATTACCTCTGACCGTTGTGTGCTGTAGCTTTGAGGGCTGGTTCTAGCTGGTTTTGCAGTCTCAGCCTCAGCAAAGTCTTTCGAGCTCATTTACAGTTCAGTCCTGCAGCCTGGAGGCTTCATCTACTTTAGGCACTAGAGCTAAGCTGGGCTATAACTAAATTAGCTCCCTTTTCTAACAGGGAGAAGGGGGATGAATTCACATCACCAAATCTGAGGAACAAACTCGGGGTTATGGACTTGCTGAGGTTGGAAGGGACTCTGGAGGTCTCTAGTCCAGACTCTTGCTCAAGCAGGGAGGTCTCTATCCAGCCTCTTGCTTCAGCAGGTTGCCCAAGGCCAAATCTGGCTGGGTTTTGAATGTCTCCAAAGATGGAGACTCCTCTCTGGGCAACTTGTTTCAGGTAAATGCTAATGCTAAAAGAATTTGTCATTATATCTAATCAGAGATAGATAATCTAGGCGCCCATTTAGGCAGTAGTGTTAGATATTTAAAGTTTAGCCGTATGAATACCCAACCTATCTAAAAAATAATTGTGTCAAAACCAGAAGAACCAATGAAATTTTCATTTTTCTGCACCTAGATTACCGATCACTCAAGTTTTTTTATCTCAATTTAGGATTTAGCCAAAGAAGTCAATCCAGCAACTGCTACTGGCATTTCAAAACAGGTCTGCTCCTGTTGCTCCACCTGCTTCTATGGCATTTGTTCCAAACTCCCAGAATTTCAAAGATGTTCCACCACTAAAATGCTGATCTGCTTAAAATCTGGCATCTCACTTTACTAGCTAAATTGAAGCACTTCAAAATATACAGCTTTAGTGAGGGAGCTGACTATCACTTCTTCATATTTCTCATTCTCAAAGGTTAAAATGAGTATTACCTACCTCATAGGACTCCTATGAAATTTAATTAGCACGTAGATGTAAAATGCACTGAAATATTCATTATCACCTAAATCTTATTTTATTAATATAATATTCACATTTTACCAGAAGCCAAAGCTGTCTGTGCATGACATTAGACTGCAGATATGAAGAAGGACAAGGTATGAAATGCTGCATAGTAGATAGAAGA